AAAAAATCAGATTCAAAATTCTTTATCTAATTTTTTTTCTTATCTAATTCCTTTTTATTATCTAATTGTATGAAAATCTGTTCTGATTTTGTTCAATCCTCTAATTGTATCTGTATTATATTCCATAAATCGGTTTAACAAAAAAATCCCACAACATTCGATAAGTAAAAAAAACAAAGTACGTAAAATATTTACTAAAATAAAAAAGGTTTTATTTATTATCTAATTGTATGAAAATCTGTTCTGATTTTATGGTACGTACTACAAATTGCGCACCCGTGTTCAGGAGCTACTTAACGGGCAAGTTTTGTAGGAATGACTCATTTAGTGTTTTTGTCCCGTGCATACGGTATGTATTTTTGTTACACATACTAGAAAATTATGCACCCCGTGCATCACACGGGCTCTGTACTAATAAATGAACTTAAAATTGTGCACCCCGTGCATCATCCTTATTCACATTTTGGTCTATTACAGGTCAAGTACTATATATATCCCGTACATTTTTTTATTCATTTGTATAATTATAAGACTGGATAAATGGCCTTAAAATTGTGCACCCCGTGCATCGCACGGGCTCTGTACTAGTATATATTAAAACGCTAACCTATTTACCAAAAATAGTATAAAAAAAAGTCAACACACATTTAATGCATATCATATTTGAAAACTATTTATTATATGCATTAATTTCTTGCATTAATTTCCTATCCATATATAATTTTAAAGGTTCTTTCCATAAATAATTTTATTAACTTTTGCAATGATTTTACTGATATCCAATATAATTAATATTTGTGGATAATATTTTTTAACCTTTATTATTATATGAAACTAATAATTTTTTAAAATTAATATTATTTTTCATTTAAGAGATAATGATCACATCATTAAATGATTATATTGATGGCTAGATAAAAGAATAAAATATATTAGTTATTCTTTAAAATTTTGACATGTTATTTATATGTATATTATTGTCAACCATATAATGTTTTTATCATTTTTTTTTTGTTTTGTTTTGTTTTGATCTGTTTCTATAATGAACTTATTGTAAAAAAAATTATATTGCATAGTATGTTAAATAAACTATAAAGCCTTAGGATCAATATTAGAAAAAATTTCTTGATTATGTAATGGATTTATTTGTTGGCAATTGCTAAATCAATTGTTTTAAAATTATTATGAGAAAATTAAATCCTACAAAACATGTGTGTCTATTTCACTATTTTGTAAACATTTATACACAAAATTTTATTTTGAATTTCATTACATAAAGAAGACTACTTATGCAACTTTTATAAATAATAATAATGACATTATACGACTATAAATTTTATAACAAAATAATAATTGAGTATTATATGGTTAACAATAATAAATAAATTTTTTATTAGTTCTTATCAATGAATAAATATGTATTCTAAAATCAAATTTATATTAGTATAACGTGTTAGCGGAATAATATATTAATTAACATGTTAATTTTCTGGCTAAAATAATCGTTACTATTAAAAGATGTGAAATATAGTTGATCCAAACCTATTGTCTTTTTGCCTAAACATACAAGTCCTATGGAAATGATTGACTTATTATATGTATCACGTGCATCGCACGGGCTATGCACTAGTATATTTTAAGAGTTAATAACTTTTGTATTTTTTATCAGTTTTACATATGTAATATGTCAAATTAATCTTCTTTTGATGAGTTTCGATTTAACATCCATATTGTATGTATAAAAAAAATAATTTATATATATCCTTATAACAATAATAAAATTATTTTAATATTAATTAGAAAAATAAAATTATTTATCAACTAATATATTTATATTTTAAGTAGTTATATGATATAAGTTATAAAAACTAATATAATATAACACATGTAAGTCATAAGTAACACATATCATTCTAAAATATATAGTAATATATTTTTTTTGTAAAAGATAAACTAAATTTAATATAGTTTTCTCATTAATTTTAAAATTTTAGAATAATTTTTTAACAAGCACCCGTGTAATACACGGGTGTTGTACTAGTGTTCTAATTAAGTATGAATATTAGTTCAGTTAAAAAGAGTACTAATTATTTTTTTTGGTAGCCAGCCACGATATCCGGAGCTATGCCCCGACTAATCCGTTGGTCGACCCGGGTCGCACACCTGACAGTGGTGGGTAAGTCTCCCAACAAGGCTTTTCTGCATCTACAAGGACTCGAACCCGAGACCTTGCTTAAGGTACATCAAGTTGCTTACCACTTGAGCCAACTCATGTTGGTAAACAGAGTACTAATTATTTAATAAGAACATGTACACACTTAAATTTATCACTTATCAATTTTTAATATTTACAGGTACATGGATTAAATTTAGGCTAAAGGACGCAGGGACGTGTGTAACTTACAGCAATGCCATAATTACGAGCCACAAACTTTTATCACAGTATTGTCAACTGCATAAACTTCTTCTAAAAAACTACAAGCATTATCCTTAAAATGGAAACAAAAATCACAACAATAATCCACTATGTTATTTCCCGTAATAAAAAATTGATGTGTATTTTTTTCCTTTTAATTTATTTTCAGAATAGGTATTTTATTTTTGGAAAAAAAAAAGAAAAAAAAAAAGAATCGGTATTTTATTTGTCATCTAATTTTTAACATTTTAAAGTATAATTGTTTCCTTTTATAAGTTATTTTCTAATACAAGTTTTCTAATGTAAATTTATATTTATATCTACCTTATTTTTATTTTATTATAAGTTTATAAATCATTACAAGAACACAAACAATAAATTTATATTTATATATGGTTTATTTTCAGTTTATTGTACAAGAAAAAAATAAACATTATTTTCAGCTT